CTGTGAAACAAACAGGGGGGGAGACAAACCACTCAAATGTTTGGAAACACTCATTGTGTGTCAGATAGCTACTGATAACACATCCTAACATTGCTTTGTCTTGAGTTTATCTTTGAAACTTATAGGCACACAGATTAAACCTGTGTTGTTGATTTTGGAAAACACTACTGAGGCTGCCTTGCTTCCCTTCAGAAAATCTACATTTTAACCAACTTACATGACATTCTATGTTATATTGACTTTATCATATGAAAGTTTATGGTGCATTTCATCAATTAATAAATAAATGTGAAAATCGTAATTTTCAACACAAATAATAGTCTCGCTACCTTAATGCGTCATAATAATCTGAAACACATTCATTGTATAGGTGAGATAGAATAACAAATGATTATTAATAGTGTTCATGTAAATTACTGATGTGTTACTATGGTAAATAAATTTTTCACAACAGTGGATATGACGTCACACTTTACCCACAATCCTTTGCTGGAGAATGAAGATGGCAGACTACATGATACAGATGAAAAGTTGAATATCTAGAGAATGAAAAGTGATATAAACAAACTGTAAATTACATTCTCCTTCATTTGTGGAGGTCTTTCTTTAGGGAACATTATGTTGTTTGGCTTGACTTCCTTTAAAAAAAGAAATATTTAAATTAATGAATTAATATACAATATGCAATTTTTTCTTATGCACTTCTGTTAATACCTTTAAGTATGCATCAACGCAGTATGATGATCGTGTCAACCGACATTTAACAAAGGTCAATGCGTTATTGTATTGCACACCCTTAACAACCTTGTTATTATACATATTTTACTGCTTATACCAGTAGTATTAATTTAATAACAGCCTCAAATGGCACTCTGAGGAACGTTTTTCGCTGTGCGAATGCTTGTGTTCGATGAAGGGATTCTATTTCCACAACGTGCTGATAGTGGCTCCAGCGTCTGAAGTAACCTATTGAAAGTGTTTGATTATGACATTACATGATGCACAATTTCCATATAAGGAAGACATTTGAACTCGTCCTAGCATCATTTTAGGAACGGGTAAATTCAATTTTTTTCAGATGTATAATAATTATGTATTCTGTATTAATCTTTTTTTTTTTTAGTCATGATGTAGCGGCACCTCTATCACCACATTATATGGAAGTCTCCTGCTATATTGATTATAATATATCACACCCAGCTCAGAATCTGTGGAAACTGGTATGTGCTGCACCCTCTGTAGGCCAAACAATTAAATTTTGCATGTGTTAGCACTCTCTAGTCGAATTGTTGTTGAGACTGTAGTACAGCTAAAAAATCTTTACAAAAATGTCGCCCCAGAAACTATATTTTTTTTAATTTTCAGATTGTCAAAATTTGTTCTATTGTATTATCAGTATGCTAAATTACATGAGCTATGCCATCATCCCCTGCACCTCACCCGTGGGTCACATGAATATTTATATTTTAGTTTTGTCAGGGAAAACTTCTCAAAATTTTTTGAAGTCCCTTTTTTTTCTGACAACTTATTGTGTTCTATTTGCTATGCATGGTACAATATGGCACTCATTTTGGATGTTGTGTACTGTAAAAGGGTTAATTATTCACTGGGTTTTAATTTTGCTTATTTCACTGACTGGTAAGTTCGCTAAATTAAAACCCAGTGAATATGTAAAATTTAGCATAGAACACATTATCTAAATTATAAAACCGTGAATTTAAAACCCACTGAATATGCCTGAAATGGTAAATCAGCGAGATTTGAACCCAGTGAAAATTAGTCATTTTACAGTATACTTAAAGCGGGAGGGTCGTCACCTGCTCACGCGCTAGAATTGAGTCCCAAGCGATGATAACAACACACGCTAAGAACACAGAGGCTCATGGGTAGACACTTGTTTGTAAACAATGACATGCTATGGCCACCTGACGCATGCGTAGGTGACGTCACTCCCGCTTTAAATTAACCTCATGTAAATAATATTCAACCTATCACAATCACATTTGTGTTTGTTTATATATTATTTTTGTGTTTATTCAGGAAATAGCAAACAGAGACACAGAAGGCGATTCATGGAAGTCTATTCAATCCCGTATTCGACTTGTGCATATGAACACATCACAAGCACTAAAGGTACAATGCAACTAACAAAAGTATATAAACAATTTCTGCTTTCCGAGTATTGTAATATAGAATGTTTATTCTTTTCCATGCGATTGAGTCTCCACACTTCTGGTTGGCCATGAATGTGCACAAGGTGAGGTGACATGACATGATGAATATAACAAACCTGTAAACTTTACAGCTTCTTTTGTTTGGGTTCCACTCCTTGCATCTGTGCGTGTTTTTGATGTAATTTCTCAAACATACTTGAAACTGTTTTATTCAAAGTTTGTCCAAAAACAAGAAATGATGGTAAACATATGCATGCTGATTTGTTTTTTATCAAACGTTGACAGCCTGGTGACGGTCAACATCCCCTGACACATTTCAATGTAATCTCAGAGTACTAATAAACAGACTGGCAACGCTATTGTTCAGAGGTGTCAATCGGCCTAATCCCTGATGAACGTGCATCTCGGCTACGCTGGTGGCTCACGCTTTGGCAAATTTTGCCGAATGGCGATTACACACATCGAGAATCCTCGGTCTCACATGCATTTCAGTCATTCTCTGTATTCAGTTCAGATCAGATCACCCAACCATATTTTAATAAAGTAACGATTATTTGAATGAATGAATGAATGCATTGCGTGACTTCATGGACATTTTTCCCCCAGTTGTTTATAAGATTAAAACGTTATCTCAAAAGTAAACATGGGACACAATTTAGATCAAAAGAAATACCCACGGTTCCAGTCTGATGTAATCGACCACAGTCTATACAGGGACTGTGAATCCAGTATGTTCCACCCTGGATGTAGAATTGGCGCCCTCTCTGGCAGAATGAGACCATTGATAGTGTCAGCACACTGCTTATACTTAAATTAAATAAATTAAAATTGTTGTAATCTATTTAATCTAAAAATTATTCTATAAGAAGACAGTAACACACTTTAATTTGGAAAATCTGTTGGTGTTCAGAATAAAACAAGTCATTTTTGTTTTGTTTACCTGTATGTGTATTCAAATAGAGAGATTGAATTTTACAGAGATATCAAAGACATTTGCCTTGATGTCTTATATTATTTGCATAAAGTTAAAGCAATTTTATCCATTTACTTGCTTTGGAAATGGGTGCCTGCTTAACTCAGAAGTTCAAGGCCAGTTAAACTATACTTGAAATTATGTTTGGGGAAAATAATATTGAACTGAAGTCAAAACGAAATTACTATTAAATGTTATTTACCAAAAGAAATGGGTATTGTAAATGATTGGCCAATCCTTTTTTTTATCTATTTGCCCAAGTTCATTTTTACCCACAAACATAACTATTACCGGTATAACATACATGTTACCACTTACTAAAATCCGGCCTCCCAAGAGATAACATTTGAATATTCCCTCTAACGATTTAGCCATGGCACACTTTCCCACGTAGGCATGAAAGTTCTTAAATCATTCACACAATATAATAATAGATTCATGAATGTCAGGGTATACTAGATAAACACAGTGTCATCAATATTAAAAGTGTGGCATTTACTTTGTACAGCCCACTACACAGAAGAGAATGAAAAGTTTGATCTGATCAGAATGGAGATAATAATGAAATATAATAGTTCATGAGTGACGTTAACATTTAGAATGCTTAGATTTGAGATCAGGAATTGCCGCCTCCACTAATGTGTTACTCTATGATTGTGTCACCGTTTAATAAAAGGAAACAAAGGAAAAAAAAATCACCACGAAAGTCTACTTCTGGTACATCCTTAAAACACCACTGAATATTTCAAACTTTACTTTTAAAACCCAACTGAACTTTTCAAAACCCTGCTTTACTATTCCCTGTTCAGACACAAATTGTTTTTTCCAAGATACTGATGCAATTTTTAGCTCCGCTGTCGATTTGTCGAGCGAAGCTTATTATATGAGTGATTGTCTGTCGTTGTCCGCCGTCCGTCGTTGTCTGTGTCAATGGTTTACTTTTTTGACTTCTTCTTGAAAACTACAAGCCTGAATGCTTCGATACTTTTTGTATATGTACCTTGGGTAGGCCTCTCTTAAATTTGTTCATTTCATGATGATATCTTCAATTCTTTAATTTTGGTGAATATTTTTGTAATTTTTGGTAAAAAGTAATATTTTCGACTTCAAGTTAAAAACTGCAAGTCCGATTGCTTTGATATTACATATATAGGTACTACATGTGAACTTCTCTCTGATTGTTCATTTCGTTATGATATCTTTTATGCACTAATTTTGATGAATATTTTTGGTAAAAAGTGATATTTTCGACTTCTTGTTAAAAACTGCAAGTCCGATTGCTTTGATATTACATATACAATGTATAGGTATTACATGTAGACCTCTCACAGATTTGTTCATGTGATGATATCTTTAATTCTCTAATTTTGATGAATATTTTTGTCTTTTTTGGTAAAAAGTGATTTTTTGTACTTCTTGTTGGAAACCATATGTCTGATTGCTTCGATACTTTATATATAGGTACTACAGGTAGACCTCTCTCGGATGTGTTCATTTCATGATGATATCTTCAATTCTCTAATTTTAATGAATATTTTTGTCTTTTTTGATAAAAAGTTATATTTTTGAATTCTTGTTGAAAACAGCAAGTCCGACTGTTTTGATACTATACATACATGTATTGTTCATTTTCTAATGATATCTTCAGTTCTTTAATTGAAATGTGCATTGCCAACAGCAGAGCTATCTCAGCCGACAGGCTGCTTGTTTATTCTTGTGGTTACTATATTCCAAACAGTTTTGACTCCTGTGTGTGAAGCATGCAATGTGAGTCTTTGCATTTTTTGCATCTGTATGTATGTATGAATGTATGTATGTATGTGTGTGTGTGTGTGTACGTCGGCTTCTCTGATATCTCAAGAACCATATGTTAGTTTTTGATGAAACTTGATGCATTGTTGCTCTGGGCTAATGCACAGATTCGGGTTTTGGTTAAAATGTATGCATATAAATTATCTAATTTGCATAATAATTAGCTGGTTTTTAACTGTTCCATGACTGTTCCACTGATATCAAAAGAACCACTCATTGTATTGATATGAAACTATACAGATGCTCTGGACTAATGCACAGATTTGATTACTTACTCTAAGACAATGTGACGATCTAAACAGACATAAATTTATGCATAATAATTGATTAATTTGCATAATAATCCATTTGGTTCATTGGAGCAATCTACAGAAATCATTAGTTTTATGTTTATGTAAAATCAAATGTCCTTTCTGTAAGTATTATAAATTTTGTGATAACGTGGATCACATATATTTCATGTTGTGCATCTCAAATAGCAGACAAATATTAGTTGCCAAGCTTCTTGTTTGAAAGGCTAATCTTAAATTTTGAATTAATTTTAATGTGTCTCCAATACTCTCAGGAGTTCTTTCCATGCTTTCTTTGATTATCTGATCATTTTCAGTCACTCCAATCATGTCATCAAAGTTCAATTTTAACATGTATTTTCTGTGCAAAATTTTGTTTAGATATATTAGTGCATTGTCTCATGACTGTTTCATTCTCACTTTTGCTCTGCAAGGAAAAGATTGTACCAGGCAGCAAGTACATCATTTGTTTGTATCTATCCTAATTTGTTGATATCTTGATTCTCAATGGGCAAGGCTGTAGTAGTTACACTATGTTCAATGTCTTTTATGTCAAACTTTTCTAATATTGCATTGTGCAAAAATATGAAAAGTTCAAAAGTCAAATTTGTATTTAACCTTTTCACCACCAGTTTCCTTTTTTTCATCACAAATTCACAAAATAGTTTATAGTCTGCACTTTCCCTCAGAAGATTGGATCAAAAATAGCCAAATGTTTTGAGTGAAAACTGAAGATTGACTCAAATTTAGCCTGTTGGCTCCAAAAATAGGGTTCAGTATTTCCAGAAATATTGAAATATTGAAAATATAAGAAAAAAAAACGAGAGAAGTCGAGAGAAAAGGTGAAAAGTGGTGAAAAGGTGAAGATTCTGATACTTGTATTCTCACATCGTGTCGGTTACACATACATGAGGCATGTTTGGTAGTGGATTGGTTCCTTGCTGTTTTTACCACTACCATTGACATATAGCATGTGATTCTGCCGGACAAGGTCATAATACTGACTGTATGCTCATATAGTATATTATGTCTGTAAACATAGTATTCTCCATCACTAGGTTACTGGACGTCAGTTACCAGATTGGGGTTTTCATCAGTTTGAAGTTGCCACTGACAGAATATTGGCACAGGAAGGAAACATATGGAACGTAGAAGAACACAAGTATACCAGATGTAAGTGTCTTCTTTAATTATGGTTTTTTTTTTTATTTGTTAATTTTTTTTCATAATTTATTTAGCACATAATATTGGCGTAAGATAGAATGGGAATATGCTACTCTAACAGTGTATTTTCAAGAAGTTTACTTCCCCCTTTTTGTGAATGACATTTTTTTAAAACAATGAGCATTTCCTGAGAATAATTAATACTAGAATTTAAACATAGCCATTTGCCACTGGTGAGGAGTTAGTAGAAGCCAAGCCGTTGGCCACTGGTGAGGAGTTAGTGGAAGTCCAACCATTGGCAACTAGTGAAGTGTTAGTGGGAGCCCAGCCATTGGCAACTGGTGATGGGTTAGCGGAAGCCCAGCCATTGGCAACTGGTGAAGGGTTAGCGGAAGCCCAGCCATTGGCAACTGGTGAAGGGTTAGTGGAAGTCCAGCCATTGGTGGTTGGTGAAGGGTTAGAGGAAGCCCAGCCATTGGCAACTGGTGAAGGGTTAGTGGAAACCCAGCCATTGGCTACTGGTGAAGGGTTAGTGGAAGCTCAGCCAATGGCAACTGGTGAAGGGTTAGTGGAAGCCCAACCATTGGTCACTGGTGAAGGGTTAGTAGAAGCCCAGTCATTGGTGGTTGGCGAAGGGTTAGTGAAAGCCCAGCCATTGGCAACTGGTGAAGAGTTAGTGGAAGCCTAGTCATTTGTGGTTGGTGAAGGGTTAGTAGAAGCCCAGCCATTGGTAACTGGTGAAGGGTTAGCGGAAGCCCAGTCATTGGTGACTGGTGAAGAGTTAGGGGAAGCCCAGCCATTGGTGATTGGTGAAGGATTAGTGGAAGCCCTACCATTGGCAACTAGTGAAGGGTTAGTGGAAGCCCAGCCATTGGTGGTTGGTGAAGGATTAGTGGAAGCCCAGGCATTGGCAAGTGGTGAAGAGTTAATGGAGGCCTAGTCATTTGTGGTTGGTGAAGGATTAGTGGAAGCCTTACCATTGGCAACTAGTGAAGGGTTAGTGGAAGCCCTACCATTGGCAACTAGTCAAGGGTTAGTGGAAGCCCAACCATTGGTCTCTGGTGAAGAGTTAGTGGAAGCCCAGCCATTGGCAACTGGTGAAGAGTTAGAGGAAGTCTAGTCATTTGTGGTTGGTGAAGGGTTAGTGGAAGCTCGGGCATTGGCTACTGGTGAAGAGTTAGTGGAAGCCTAGTCTTTTGTGGTTGGTGAAGAGTTAGTGGTAGCCCAGCCATTGTCAACTGGTGAAGGGTTAGTGGAAGCCCAACCATTGGCCTCTGATGAAGAGTTAGTGGAAGCCTAGTCATTTGTGGTTGGTGAAGGGTTAGAGGAAGCCCAGCCATTGGCAACTGGTGAAGAGTTAGGGGAAGTCTAGTCATTTTTTGTTGGTGAAAGGTTAGTGGAAGCCCGTGCATTGGAAACTGGTGAAGAGTTAGTGGAAGACTAGTCATTTGTGGTAGGTGAAGGGTTAGTGGAAGCCCAGGCATTGGCTACTGGTGAAGGGTTAGTGGAAGCCCCTTTCATTGGTGACTGGTGAAGAGTTAGCGGAAGCTCAGCCATTGGTAACTGGTGAAGAGTTAGTGGAAGCCTAGTCATTTGTGGTTGGTGAAGAGTTAGTGGAAGCCTAGTCATTTGTGCTTGGTGAAGGGTTAGAGGAAGCCCAGCCATTGGTAACTGGCAAAGGGTTAGCAGAAGCCCAGCCATTGGTGGTTGGTGAAGGGTTAGTGGAAGCCGGGGCATTGGCAACTGGTGAAGAGTTAGTAGAAGCCTATTCGTTTGTGGTTGGTGAAGGGTTAGAGGAAGCCCAGCCATTGGCAACTGGTGAAGGGTTAGTGGAAGCCCAGCCATTGGTGGTTGCTGAAGGGTTAGTGGAAGCCTAGGCATTTGTGGTTGGTGAAGGGTTAGTAGAAGCCCAGCCATTCATAACTGCCAAAGGGTTAGCGGAAGCCCAGTCATTGGTGACTGGTGAAGAGTTAGCGGAAGCCCAGACATTGGTAACTGGTGAAGGGTTAGTGGAAGCCCAGGCATTGGCTACTGGTGAAGGGTTAGTGGAAGCCCAACCATTGGCCTCTGGTGAAGAGTTAGTGGAAACCTAGTCATTTGTGGTTGGTGAAGGGTTAGAGGAAGCCCAACCATTGGCAACTGGTGAAGAGTTAGAGGAAGTCTAGTCATTTGTGGTTGGTGAAGGGTTAGTGGAAGTTCGGGCATTGGCAACTGGTGAAGAGTTAGTGGAAGCCTAGTCATTTGTGGTTGATGAAGGGTTAGTGGAAACCCAGGCATTGGCTACTGGTGAAGGGTTAGTGGAAGCCCAACCATTGGCCTCTGGTGAAGAGTTAGTGGAAACCTAGTCATTTGTGGTTGGTGAAGGGTTAGAGGAAGCCCAGCCATTGGCAACTGGTGAAGAGTTAGGGGAAGTCTAGTCATTTGTGGTTGGTGAAGGGTTAGTGGAAGCCCGGGCATTGGCAACTGGTGAAGAGTTAGTGGAAGCCTAGTCCTTTGTGGTTGGTGAAGGGTTAGTGGAAGCCCAGGCATTGGCTACTGGTGAAGGGTTAATGGAAGCCCAACCATTGGCCTCTGGTGAAGAGTTAGTAGAAGCCGATTCATTTGTGGTTGGTGAAAGGTTAGAGAAAGCCCAGCCATTGGCAACTGGTGAAGGGTTAGTGGAAGCCCAACCATTGGCCTCTGGTGAAGAGTTAGTAGAAACCTAGTCATTTGTGGTTGGTGAAGGGTTAGAGGAAGCCCAGCCATTGGCAACTGGTGAAGAGGTAGGGGAAGTCTAGTCATTTGTGGTTGGTGAAGGGTTAGTGGAAGCCCAGGCATTGGCTACTGGTGAAGGGTTAATGGAAGCCCAACCATTGGCCTCTGGTGAAGAGTTAGTAGAAGCCTATTCATTTGTGGTTGGTGAAGGGTTAGAGGAAGCCTAGCCATTGGCAACTGGTGAAGAGTTAGTGGTAGCCCAGCCATTGGCAACTGGTGAAGGGTTAGTGGAAGCCCAACCATTGGCCTCTGGTGAAGAGTTAGTAGAAACCTAGTCATTTGTGCTTGGTGAAGGGTTAGAGGAAGCCCAACCATTGGCAACTGGTGAAGAGTTAGAGGAAGCCTAGTCATTTCTGGTTGGTGAAGGGTTAGAAGAAGCCCAGCCATTGGCAACTGGTGAAGGGTTAGGGGAAGTCTAGTCATTTTTTGTTGGTGAAAGGTTAGTGGAAGCCCGTGCATTGGAAACTGGTGAAGAGTTAGTGGAAGCCTAGTCATTTGTGGTAGATGAAGAGTTAGTGGAAGCCCAGGCATTGGCTACTGGTGAAGGGTTAATGAAAGCCCAGCCATTGGCTTCTGGTGAAGAGTTAGTAGAAGCGTTTTCATTTGTGGTTGGTGAAGGGTTAGAGGAAGCTCAGCCATTGGCAACTGGTGAAGAGTTAGTGGAAGCCCTTTTCATTGGTGACTGGTGAAGAGTTAGCGGAAGCTTCAGCCATTGGTAACTGGTGAAGAGTTAGTGGAAGCCTAGTCATTTGTGGTTGGTGAAGGGTTAGAGGAAGCCCAGCCATTGGCAACTGGTGAAGAGTTAGTGGAAGCCTAGTCATTTGTGGTTGGTGAAGGGTTAGAGGAAGCCCAGCCATTGGTAACTGGCAAAGGGTTAGCAGAAGCCCAGTCATTGGTGACTGGTGAAGAGTTAGCGGAAGCCCAGACATTGGTAACTGGCAAAGGGTTAGTGGAAGCCCAGCCATTGGTGGTTGGTGAAGGGTTAGTGGAAGCCCGGGCATTGGCAACTGGTGAAGAGTTAGTAGAAGCCTATTCGTTTGTGGTTGGTGAAGGGTTAGAGGAAGCCCAGCCATTCGTAACTGGCAAAGGGTTAGCGGAAGCCCAGTCATTGGTGACTGGTGAAGGGTTAGTGGAAGCCCAGCCATTGGCTACTGGTGAAGAGTTAGTGGAAGCCTAGTCATTTGTGGTTGGTGAAGGGAAGCCCAGCATGTACTATATACAAACCTTTCTTTAGACGATGATGGATTGCATATAGATATCAGTCTTGGTTTCACTATATTCAATTTGAAAAAGTGATTTTCATTAAAATAAAATTCCCAGATGGTAAACATTATCTATTTCTTAATCAGGAATTAATTGACTAACAAATCGAAATATAAATCGAAGTATAATATAAGATGTGTTATTAAAGCAAAAGATCCATATCGCAATATTCCGAAATTAACAATGGCAGGCAGAAATGTGCTATAAGGTTATTACAAATTGCAATGCTGCACATCTGTGCACAGACTTTACAACAAAGTGGCTGTGTTTAATTTTACATAGTAATGCCCTAAGGATTTAACTGAAGAAAAACTTATGGGACTTATAATCTTGTCAAGTATACAATTAAATTCATGTATAGCTGGGAGACACTGAATTCAAGTCAGAATCAAGGTGGAGTAGTATTAAAAACATGAGCAGTTTAATAGGTTAATATGAACAATCATGATGCATCAACCTGATTGTTACAATTTGAGGTCTCTGAGGTAATACACAAAGCCCCTAATGAAATCAATAAATAAAAAAATGGTTGAGTCATGAATGGGTTTTACAATTTTATCATTCATTACTGAAATTATAATTAGAATACTCAAAAATTGTTAAAAAGCATAGCTCAAACTATAACAATATGTTAACTCTGGCTTAGTTTGGGGTTAAATTTGTGCATATTAATTACCTAATTTGAGTAATATGATAGCTCATCTCATTTCAATGAAACTTTTGAATTTCATGTTAAAATTTATACATATTTTTTCCAAGGAAGTTGTTCATGGTTGATGAGTCATGGTTGAATTGTACTTTAGGACTCCTTATAATTAAAGAATTGTTAAAAATTTGATAATTAACAATTAAACATGCTTTATTTGAACATTGAAATCAATGAGAATAGGCAAGAGGGTAATTTAAATAACAGCATTTCAACAACTTTTTTTTTTAAATATGTGTAAATAATTATTGTAATTGCTTTACAAAATGGTAAAAGTTTTGGAAAATAGCCTCCATCATTGAAGGCTATCAATTCAATAATTTTCAAAAATAATTTATCAAATTTTTTAATGTAGATTAGTCTGTTATAAACTATATGGCCATTTTTAGTATATGTAAATTAGGTATTTGCCCCTGCCTACATGTTTCTGCATTTCTTATGATATGCTTACGGTAGGTTGTTATAAAAGTTGCTTAAAAAGTTACATTCCCATTCATGGCTGGTGCCCTTTACAAAGATATACCATGTTTTGTCATACATGCAGATAACATCACAAAATATTTTATTTCTCAGCTGGGTCCACAGGCTACAAATGAATATCGTGTTAGATTACATTGCGATTGTTCTGCATTATTGGAATTGTTCAGTTCCACAAAATTGATGTATTACACATATTCCCCTGCGAGCATGTGCATGTTTCAACCAAGCCCACACATCAGACATCAATAAAATAAATAGATTTCTTTGGAAGAGACTCTTAAACAGACAACCACTTAGCCGTGATTATTAATTAAAATGCTATTCTATATAGAAATTAAACTCAATTAAATTGCAAATGTATAAATGGTTGTGCTTTAACTGAATTAAATTCAAGGTAGTAGAAAAAAAACATCATGTAAATTCTAACTTGATTCATATTAGTTTGCGTACTTTAGGCTGGAGAAAAGAAGGTGAAGGTATTTTACAGATTACCATACTTTAATCCTTAATCTATGCAAACTTGGATTAAATCCTTAATTGCAAATCAAGATTTATATATCCTAAATGCAAGGCCACTAAAGAAAATGCCCTTAATTCGAGTTGACTTTGCATATAAGACAAAGGCTATAAAACGAAATGGCTTGATGTCAAATTGCAGAAAAAGTCACACTTATGCACATTCAGTGAATAAAAACTACAATAGTGATAAGGTGATGACAGAATAAATGGATGTGTCATATCAGAGATAATTGAGTGAAATTTCTTTATTGACGTGTCATAGTCATCAGTTTTTTTTTCAAGATGGCCGACCCACCCACGTCTGAGGCCTTGTGTTCTAGTCAGATGAGTGAGTTTACTCCTTCTCAGAGCCCAAATCTACACATGTTCTACGCACAGTTTATTCATTACCTTAGTTTCTACTCGTCACAACCGTGCATGGCACCGACTGTTCTCAACACTCGCATTGTAGTGTTTGTAATCTGTGGTATGAAGCTCAGAATAGCGCATTGCACTGCAAGGAGCATACACTGTGCCCCCAGGTTAGCAGCATATTACATAACCAATATTTGACTATTCATAAATTGATTACTAACAAATAGTGCAAGTCACCGACAGTGACTAATAAACAAGAAACCCATTGGGTCAAGAACATGTAATATATAATTTGTTCATTTGTGTTTTTTCTAGCATATTTTTGCATTTTTACTGGATAAAAATTAATATAAGTTGCATGTCTGTAATTTTTAAAACAAAAATACTATGTAACAATTGTAATCAAAATACTATGTAACAATTTTAATCAAAATACTATATAACAATTGTAACCAAAATACTATGTAACACTTGTAACCAAAATACTATGTAACAATTGTAACCAAAATACTATGTAACAATTGTAACCAAAATACTATGTAACAATTGTAATCGAAATACTATATAACAATTGTAACCAAAATACTATGTAACACTTGTAACCAAAATACTATGTAACAATTGTAATCAAAATACTATATAACAATTGTAACCAAAATACTATGTAACACTTGTAACCAAAATAATATGTAACAAGTGTAACCAAAATACTATATAACAATTGTAACCAAAATACTATGTAACAATTGTAACCAAAATACTATGTAACACTTGTAACCAAAGTACTATATAACAATTGTAACCAAAATACTATGTAACACTTGTAACCAAATACTATGTAACAATTGTAACCAAAATACTGTTTAACAATTGTGAAGATTTTATACCCAGTAATAGTGTAGTAGAAAAAAATATTGCAATAATTTATATTGTCTAAATCTGAATTTCTTCCTGCCTATATAGTGAAGGTTCAAAGGTCATCTATTGACAAAGTTCATCCCTGTACAAATATTAAACTCTAAATTAGATATTATAATATTATAAGACAACGCGACCTTTTTGTTGAAATTGATTTTGATGTTTTCTTTCATAATTGAGATGCAATGTAGCTACATCAAATACAAATCTTTCAACGCCGTGTCATGAGCAATTTGACGCTGTTTAGGATTTCTGATGTTTGCTACATTCCCCAGGGTAACATATTCCCTCCAGCGATCAGATTGTATCTGTTTTCTGATTGCTCATATTATATTGTTTATCAGACAGTGTGATTGGATTAAAAGCATAATTCACAAAATATTTTCCTAATGTTATTTCCATTGTTGCTATGGTTACTGTGAACTACCATAGGCTACCACAGTCCCACAAGTACCAGGGTATAGACATAAAAGCTGAAGTCTGGCTTGGATTAATTTCTGCTACTTAAATTTCTCTGATACATGTGTAATTATACATTAGTTTCTATGTACATGTAGTTTCTGGTTTCTACTTTTAATTTTTTCACTAAAATATTTGATAAATCAAAATCATATTAAGCAAAAATAGAAAATTTTAACAAGTTTTTTCTATGTGTTTAAAGATTCAGACCCCTGGCATCTTGAAGCTTTGACCATTCTGTGTGAATAAATGCTGTAGATTCTGTGTGAATGGTAACATAGAATTCAGAATTGTCATTTTAAGAATATTTTTGTGGAATCAATATATACAGTTGTGTATGATTTTCGTAAAAGATGCATGTTTAGTGAGGTGACGATCCATGCTCTGAAATACAAAACAAAATTGCACTGTTTAGTGCCAAGGAAATTTTTTATTATAATTAATTTTATTATACATCTGTCACCGTAAGGCCATAAGTTACAGCGTGTCGTAATTTTGCGGTATTTTACGGGGTATTTTCATATAAGGAAATGCAAATACCAAATATGGAATGATTACACATGTAAGTGCCCTCTAATAATAAAAATAAACATGGCTGCCACCAGTGTTTGACGAAACTCCACACAAAGAAGTTTGCTGATTCTGTTCTAAACTTTTTGGATTTCGGCATTCCCATGGTGTATCCTTGGAAGGAAAAGATGTATAATAATACGCTACACGTCGGTCGATACTGTACTATCTTCGGGCATACTTTGTGGTATCCTCGCAATAACCTCATATTATTATCTTTTAATTTATAACTTAACCATGGACACTGTGTGTTTGGCAAACAAACATACTATTTGAACTTGAGTTTGTCTCCTTGGTTATTCCTTACGAAAACAGAATAACTGAGAAAAATTCCCACAGCCATCATCGGTTCGTCTTGCATCCATGATGACGCATGTCATCATGCTGACCGACAACGCGTTTCTGAAGATTAGACACAGTGTTTCAGTACATCGACGAATCACTGGGGTGCTAATAAATACACTATTATCTTCTTGTTATAATTTTCTATCACCACATTTAAAAGCAAAAACGATCATTATTTCTCTTATTTTTGAAAATTCAAAATTGTTCCGTCTTCACAGAATCAATGATGTAGACACAGGATTCAACAACCAGGATATAAAAGATGTATTTTCTGTTCAACAGGGAATAACTCGGCCTGTGTATATCATAATGTCAGTTGTCATACACTGTTGTTAGATAATTAAATTGTAAGCTTTTTTTGTATTTTACAGTGTAGTGATACTAAACCATAACAAAATGCAGTCTTAGATGATGCACCTTTCATATTCATGTACTGTAGAGGCATGAATTACCGGTGTGTATTCACCGAGGTTTAATTTCACTATTTTTGCTGACAAGTAAAATCTGCTACATTTAATCCATGTGGACTTGTAAAATAACAATATAACTCATTGTTTCTTTACCAAATTCATAAACTTAAAACCTAGTGAAATTGCTAAAACATCAAAATAGTGAAATTAAGTGCCAGTGAAAATAAATGGTTTTACAGTATTTCAAGTATCATATATCTGTCTTTAAAAAAACACTTTTTCTTTGATATGATGAGGTTAACACGAGAATACTGCAACGTATATGCACTCAGGCAGTATGAGATCATATCAATATCTGATACGTGTCTGTCGATATGGTTGCTGTAAGCCTTTGTATTTACATAATTACATTATTATACAACTGATTGTAGTAATTTAATAAGAGATAACAGCCCCAAATGACAGCAAGATATGTTGTGCACTGTGCAAATATTAGCATTCATTGACAGAATTCTTTTTCTATAACATGCTGCAAGCATTTTGCATGTGATTTAAACATAGGAAAGTGTTCAAATGTGACAACATTACCCAGGGTAATCTCTAGAATGAGTTGAATGTTGGTGACATAGTTTGACCCAAATAAAGGATATTTTGAATGTTTGAATGAGTGCTTACACAAATAATAATACAAATACAGTTTACAGAGTGGTAATTTCAATAATTATTGTTTTCAGTGCGAGATGTTTGTTACAATGTTGAATGTTTTGTGTTTTTACAGTGCCTGATCAAACTGAATTGAACTTTCAAGATAACTCAGACGTTGTATCAAAATTAACATTCTGGGAGAAGTTATGGGAAATTCAGGTAATGAATTACTTTTTATGACAATTATATATGTAAATATGTGTGTAATTCTTTAGACAAACATCGTTACAGCATATGCACTACCATATTTGCCTATATCTAAGCTTTCAGATGATATATAGGTTTTTATAGTAGCATGCTTAGTACCCTTTCGAGAATGTCTAAATCACAATCAATTTTTACCTCCGCTGTTGACTTTGTCGAGCGGAGCTTATCATATGAGTGATTGTCCTGCGTCCGTCATCTGTGTTAACTTTTTTCATTTTCAACTTCTTCTTGAAAACTACAATTCTTATTGCATTGATACATGGCGTATATGTACCTTGGGCAGACCTCTCTTAGATTTGTTCATTTCATGATGCTATCTTCAATTCTCTAATTTTGGTAAAAGGGATATCTTTTGACTTCTTCTTGAAAACCGCAAGTCTGATTGCTTTGATACTATACATATTGTTCATTTTCTAATGATATCTTCCGTTGTTTGATTGAAATGTGCATTGCTAACAGCGAAGCTATCTCAGCCGATAGGCTGCTTGTTAAATAATTTTTTCTCATTTCTACTCATAAGAATCGAGCCATTTGATTATGGCGCCAAAATAGATTCTTATAATCCCCTGTGAGGAATAACAAATTTTTACCTACTTATCTCGAAATTTCTTTTTCTTTGTACTGTCACCGCCATATCAGTTCGATCATTATGGGAATACAGTATGTTCTTGTTGCATTTTTATTCCTCTTTATACCAACAAATATACAGATTTTCAAAAGATCACATTACACGAGAAAAAGAACTAAAGATATGTGTATCTTTAAATTTTGATTTGATTAAAGGGTATTTACAAATATGTAATCAGTGGTACAACATAAAGTACATTTCACAAATTTAAACCACACAAACATATCACACCTGTCCTCAATGTAACATGCTAAGATTAAAGAAAGAAATGATGTGTCATCGAAGTTATTTTCTCGTCCACGGGAAAGTGATTACATACATCTGTCCAGAACCTGTTACGAGCTGTAACATTTGCTTGATACTCAACTAACAATGAGAAAAAATATGTTATGACATCACAGTAACCACACTCTAAAGAAAAATTGGTTTTAAAATATCCAAAATTAAAGGCTTTGCAAACTGGCAATGCAGATCAGAATATGTTGAAATTTATAATTAAATGTACAAATGCCACACGGCTTTGAAGGCTCTGAATACCAGCTTCTTAAAATGCATTTAATTGCAGCATTGACCTTTCCCAACAGTTTGATTTTCAGATGAGCCTTGTCGTTTACATCCCAGAATTTGTTTACATCATCATTCATTGTGATATGTCGTTTGCACCCCCTAGCTGTTATTTGCACACATAATGTCACTAATGGATACATGAGTGGATCAGGTGTACGAAATGTCCTTTATACATGTCATATCTTGTAAAATGATATGTTAAGATTATTCTGAAGTTGCCGTATCGAAAAACATGGTGTTAACATGTGTAAACTAAATACTGTGTAAAATCAAACACAAATACTGTTTAAATATGTCTATTTAAACTAAATGCAATGAAAATATTTCAGCTAATAGATAATTATAACATCAAAGTACCTACATTTATTTAAATTTAGTTGTCAATATAAAATATGAATTTCAATCCAGATTTCATGTTTATTTCTTTCTCGGTTTATTTAACCTTAACATTTGCAATCAGTGTGCCTTCTAAACCGATGTGACATGCCATTGACGCACAGAGATTTGCTGTGACGCAACTATTTATGCTAACTAATGTACTGGCACGTCCTTGACGCAACATAAAATTATAATAGTATAGCGATCATGAAAATCATCTTACTATAGTTATGGAATTTGTATTTTTGTGAAACAGAATTACTTTTTATAAACAAAATGAGTTTTTTCGTTTGTGCATTGAATCATCATTGCAGTCGCATACGCTCGTATTTTTTCTTGAAGCCCGACCTCCCCAGCATGCAGTCAACAAGCTGACTCAAATTAATTTTGTAGAATTCCATTTTGAATCAGGATCCCTAAAAAAATCAGTCCTATTAGAAGGCATACTGTTTGCAATCCATCTATTGCTTTGATATAAAAAAATATGTTGAATTTACGTTCTATTCACACTTGACTACAATGATCAATCTCTTTTGAAAACTCGGAGGTTTCCTAGCTTTTATCTTCAGGTTCCATTAGATTGCATTATGATCCGTAGATAATGTATCACGTATTGTGTTTTGGGAACAAATATTATACATTGAGTCGCTAAAAACCTTCTCAGCTGAATGTGTTTCTATCGACATGGCAAAATGAAGAAAAAAAAAGATTGATTGATTGATAGCATTTGAAATTATTTAAAGATGAAATTGAATCTCTTTCTTAGTGAGGGAATTTGAAGGAATCACGAAATGATTGTTGATTGCTTGCTATCTGACAGATGGATCAATCCAAATAAAACTGGTGTGCTGCAAACGCTAGTGATGCCATTATGAAATAACAATCTTGGGTAATATGATATTAAATGTACCAATCCTTAGGTGGTATATATAATGGTGCGCAAAAACAAACTTTAAACTCTCGTGAGTTGACTGAAGAGACGTACTAGATAGATCTGTGCAACTTGTTAGTGCTATCTATAATTGTATCATTGATAAAATATAGTGAAAATTTGTAAAACTTTAATTGAAATTTAAGGCCAAATAAAATAAAATCGGTTTTCTGTTAACAATACTTACATTTTGGGGAGGGGGTTAGAAGTTTGTTCTATGCTAATGACTCAAAATTACTTATATCTGAGTATAAAAATTAACTATGGTCATTTCACCAATAATTTTAGATCCGCTGAGCTACACAGATGCTGTGTCCTGTGTCTGTCTGGATGAATGAATGTGGGTGACTTCTTCTCAAAACCTGTTGAACCATTTGACTTGATTTTTATTGTATTTCTGCCTTGATGAGTGGAGTAGGAAATTTGTTCACGAGGAGTTGATCTGCAAAAAATTATGCAAATTAGCAATATCAAAATGCTTATTTAATAAATGACTTCTTCTTTGACACTATTTGGTCTAAATTGCTGATATTGATAGTGCACATGCAATGGGTTGACCCCTGTCAGATGTGTTCATTTCATGGCCATATCTTAAATTCTTAATTTTCAGTGAATGATTTTGTCATTTTTTAGTGAATATTTGGTAAAAAATGCTATTTTTGACTTCTTCTTGAAAACTACCAGCCCAATTGCTTTGATACTTGGTACGTAGGTGTCTAGGATAGACCTACATGTATGTAAGATTTGTTCATTTCATATCTTAAATTCTTTATTTTTAGCGAATATTTTTGTTTTTTTTCTAGTGAAAAAATTTGCTATCTCTATCTATGAATGTCTGTATGTATACGTGTCATCTAAAATAAAGATAAAAATGTAATTTTTTTTACAATGCGTTATAAGATAGGACTGGGGTAAGATATACACAACATGACACTGAATTACCAATAAGACATGGAAATTAGAAATACTGCTTTACTGCTATGCAGTAAAATACTTTATTTTAGCTGGAATTAATTTTTGATGAAGATACATTTCGTGTGTTTTGTATGAAATTTATAATTTTCACTGATTTTTGACAAGTTGAATATAAAATATAGGAAAAAAAGGTATATTCGCTGAATTTTATTTTCACTGAATCATTCTTTCAGCGCAAATAGCAACAGTTAATTCCAAGCAAAAATAAAGTATTTTACAGTAATTAAACACCTTTTTCAAAGGTCAATTCTAGATTCTATAGACACTATATAGTGGCACACACAGTGGATTTTAAACCTTTAAACCTTTGTGTAGGAAACAATAAAAACCAATATTATCATAAAATGTATCCTAACTATGCAAATAGTAAAAGTACACAAAGATAAAGTTGATTTGTACTGACGGTATGTTTGTATACGCATGTAAAACATTTATATGCGCATATGAGATGAAGTGATTACAAAGCGCACAAAACTTGCGAGGGCAGTAGGTCTTTATAGGATAAAATACTATTGATCACATGACAAATCAGCTAATCTATTACAGGTTATCTGTTTTACAAATCTATCCCATATGAATTGTGTTCGCCAACGCAGATGCACTTTAAAAGTTCAGAAATAGTGACAGAGCACCACATGTAATGACTTACATTTCATGTCCATGCCGCAGCGATTTTGCTATAATAATAAGAGGCTGCTTGTTTAATTTTTTTTTTTATTTAATGGAACTTTTTACTCAGCAAAAATATCAAATATTTTTAATGATTTCAGTTGTGTTTGTTCCTAAGATCAAGTCTAGCTAGCCAATGATAAGTTAAATAATTCTACTTTCGTGTCAGTTTTGAGGTAATTTAAATTTATGTTAATGTTAAAATAGAAAAAAAATGTAAATGCTAGTTGTCATTGCTGAATATATAAGATTGATGTATTAAAATCCTCTGTTTACCATGAATAGCACAAAGTTCAAGTCAGAAGATTTTTGATCTACCTGTCAACTATTTGATTAACAGATGTTATAGATGCTGTAAAAAACTGAGTCCTCAGATTATTATGACGATTGCTCTAAATGCACCTATTAAAATTAAAACGGATATGCAAAAGCTTTTAATCGGTTGATTGATATGCAACAAGCTTCAAGATAATGAAATTTCAACTCGACATACTACATATTCAGCACAAAATAATGTGATATTTTTTATAAATATATGTTGCCATGACGATGAGATTTCATGTACTCTGATGTCTTAAACTTCATGACTGAGATCAATCACTGTATTATGTGTAATTTTTGATGGAAAACTGTGGTAGCAATTTCTGTCAAATGTTTATTATGTTTTATATTTTATCTCATTTCTATGAAGAAATGTCGTCTGATAGGTATCTTTTATCTTCTTTCATATTCTTATTTTAGTATTTATTTATCACAACTTATCTTTATATTGTATTTCTAAGTATGCAATAAACTTTAATATTCAGTCCTGTCCGACAAATTTAAAAATGGGCATTTGTATTTTGTGTCCTGCCCATTTGTCCGTCCATCACCATTTCTTGATTATGCCTTGACTGGTTTAGTTCAAATTCGGTATAAAGACAAGTCCCACAGAAATATGTATGAATGGCAATTCGTTATTCATTTTATTGATGTTTGATCGATTGGTGCCCATTTTTGTCAACAAAAACACCAAAAATCAACATTTGGTCTCATCATCAACCATTATTGGAGCACGCCTGTGACGATTTCATTAAAACTTGGCCTTGACATCACTCATGGTGGCTTACTGAATTATGCACATCATTTTGTGCCATGCTTTGATTCCAGATAGCCGACTGATGGCCATTTTGTTTTCTACAATTCTTCTGCCTGTACAAAAATGACATGTATACCCTTCAATTCAGCTCAAATCACTATAAATATATGCCTATTGCCCTGCATAGAATTTTCTTGTGGTTTTTAGTCCCCTTTTTCATGTATGCATGTACATCCATTGCTGGACTGATCACATGTGGAACTTCACACATTTACTATACATGATGGAACGCATACATTTCTGAGATTAGAAAGTGATCAGCAAAATTAATGCTTTTCAATCAACTTTTATGTAAACATGTGCAATTAATGGATTCTTCAGATGAATATAAAGAATACAAAGGTATAAAATGAAAAAAAAAGACTAACATAGAATACATTGAGCTAATTGCTTTGTGGCTATAAGAAGTTTTATGTATAATTAAAAACAATATACCAATAGTAAAAATAGTGTGCTTAACAAAATTAATATTTTTTTTGAGATACAATAATTGTAATAAACTTTATATAATTTTATTCATTTACAGTGGAAAATGTTGTTCGCAACAAACGATGTAACTCAAGAACACCAGTATAGTTCTGAACCCAACGAGTGGCCATTCATGGAACAAGGAATCGCGTACTGGATAGATCATAATACTAACGTGAGTATATAAACACACTTATGCATCTATTTTTGGTTTTGTGTACATGTATTTATAAATTTCTTAAATATCTTTTTATTCAAAATTGAATTTAGAAAGCCATAACAGCATGGAATTTTTTTTTTATCAATAACATTTTTCAGTCTTATCTATTGGACTAGAAAGCTATTAAACTAAGGAAAATCTACAAAATGAATGAATGAATATACAAAACCTAAACTAAATACACAAGTGTTATAAAAACTTTGAAGATGAAAACGTGGACGTAATCATATAGATGATTATCAATCATTGTACAGTCAATAAATGTATTTTCGACTTTTTTTTTCAAAACTGTCTGACTTCTTGATACTTGGTATTTTGGATGGATATGAATTTTATTCATCTTGAGTGGAATTCAGCCTAGGGCTTCGATGCTTATTAAATATATACTTTAGGTTACATCAGTGGATGTTACATATATCTCGAAGCTCATGAGTACACACATTTTTAACACATCACTGATGAATACCAATTGCGTGGAAGTCATAAGTCAGGTTAAATATAAGCAAAGTTCATCAAGGATTGCCAGCGGGTACGGGTTGGTTTGCTTGAGAAATGCCAATTCTTATTCTTGTGAGAAATGCAATTACTATCAAAAACATAAAGTTGGGAATATATAAGGATAAATTTGCATCTTATTATATATAAATGTGTGAAAACAAAGTTGTGATACGGGTAATCCAAATGGTGTTCATCCCACGAATAATGAAACATTGCATTTGATACAAGAGGAGAAAAGAAAACATACTAGAGTAATCCCCCCCCCCCGATTTGGTAAGCAGAGTTCTCGTAGCATTGCTATGGATCTCTATTTGTCGTCACTGTTTCTCGCTGATTGACAAAGAAGTGCCTGCAAATATTGTCATAATAGTTTTTTATTATAATTAAGTTTGTTTTTTCTTGCTACAAACATGATTAATATAAATGAAAAATACAAAATACATATTATTATAACAATTGTGATAGGACTTTGTGTGGTGGCTCTGGTGCGGACCACAGAAATAGATCTAGAAAACTAATATAGTTTGTCTAGTTTGAGTCAAAATGAAACACTTATTAAATAATCACTGGGGTATGTATTTTTATGCATAACAAGTAGAATCTATAAAATATATTATAAAATTAGCCTCATCATCACTCAATGCACTTAGCTTAAATTCTCTCTCAATTAATTACCAATTACACACTAAATTATCTATTCACGCTGGAAGCACACTTGTACTGGATTCTGAATGGTCTAAATTTTTCCCTTTTTGTTACTTTAGGGTTGTGATTCGTATATCATGTCACAGCCAACATTCTATCCTTGCACTTTCAGGCCCCAACTTTGGAGGTTCTGTCCCAGTGTCAGATTTCTTTAAAGACATGCAAACTCCTGGAAGTGGAAATACTACACTTGGTCTGTGTTAGCACATTGTCAATCAAGGGTGTAAATAAACTGTTTGCACTTATACTAGCAATTGTTTAATGGCTTGTTTAATTGTTAATTTAATTGTTTAATCCAACAGTCACAGTGTGTGTTGTAATTCCACCACAATATCTCCAATTCTATTTCTAATGTTAGCAAAATATTTTTTTTCGTATTAAAATATTCCCGGTATATTATTGACCTTGTAGAATATTTGTCCTTATGACCTTGCCACCAATTTAATATACACAATATTGGTAATGGATGTATGGTGGGTGTGTCCGTAACAACCAAACACAAAGGGGTTGTGCTGTAGTTAGTGGATTTTGTTAAAAATGTATTCATATATCTTCGCAGATGATTGAACCAATTGGATTAACCTTGTGTAAACACGTATCAATATTCCTACATGTATGTGCATTGTCTTCAATCTTACAATGCATATATATGTGGGCTGTATGTGTTAAGTCATGCATGACTAATAAGTTGCTCTATGTTATGAGTGATGAGCTACATTTATATTTCTCCAAAGTGCACCAAGTATTATATACGACATGTATTATAAAAAGTCATCAGCTTTGAATCTCTGTTAATTTGTGTCCTATTCTGAAATTGACAGGCACAGATATATTTCTTGGGCAATCCCATAATATGGTGGATGTCATCCGTAGGAATTATAGTGTATATCATACTTATGGTTGTTGCGTTTATCCGAAGAATACGACAATGTCAAGATTTAGATGAAGGTAAAACAAGACTTTAGATTCATACTCTTATCATAGTACATTTTTAAGCCTATTGTTTGTCACACTTTGGCTATTTTTATTATTATTAGCTCGGTTGTTTGTCCGTCAACAATTGCATTTTTGACTTTTTCTTGAAAACTACCAGCTCAATTGCTTTGATACTTGGTGTGTACATACCTTGGCTGGCCTGCTGCCAGTTTTGTTCATTTTGTGATGATGTCTTCAATTCTCTATTTTTGGCAAACATATATGTCATTTTTTGGTATAATATGCTATTTTTGCCTTCTTCGGGAAACTGCTAGTCGAATTGTTTTTATATGTTATGTAGGCACCTTAGGTGGCACCTTTGATATATTCAATTCTCTATTTTTTTGCAAATATTTTTCCAAAATATCAGTATATCAATGTAACTAGTTCCTTGTGCATCAGTGGTGCATAATGTCGGCTTAGAGGGCACACTGATTCTTTTGATAAATTTTATATTTCATATTCATGTATTTCTGTGCAACTACATTATTTGTTTTTCTCTTTTAATTGTCAAAACTGTTCACTCAACTTTACAATTTGTTTCATCAATTGATATCATCTACTTAGATTAATAATAATAACTCTGAACAGGATATAGTGAATGAAGTAAAGACTCAATTCCTGATTGTCAGAAGTCATACCCAAAATAAAACATAGTCATTTGGTTATTATTATTATTATTAATAAGTAGGTATCAAAAATTAAGTAGGGTGCTAAGAATCAAATACACTTTAATTTATGTCATTACTAGTAGATTACTGCAAATAATTTTAATTATTCAGATATTTAAATTTTGACAAACTGTGAGCTACTGGGTCTAGAATTTCCACTGAGGAATTATTAGTAGTGGCGCCCTCTAGTAGTCAATATGGCCAGGCATCAAGTGAGATACCCCTTCTAAAATCAGTCAGGTCTTTCTCTGCATGTGCAAACATGTAAATTCTATTTATTGTTTATTTAACATTTTGGTTGAAAAATTTAATTCAAAGCGGCAAATATTTCTAGTAGTATTTTTGCTTAATTTTGGTCTGTTTTTTTTTGTTTAATCTAATGTATCTGTGATGGGAAACATGTCAAGGAGAGTGATCCTTACTATGAAAAGATGTTGTTTTTTTACTTATGAATCTACTGAAAACGGGAAATTATTCAAATTGGTCACTAATTTAATTAGAAATGGCATAATAATCAATTTACTATGTTGCCATACTTACCTTACAAACAATAGACTCAAAGATAGCCTAAAACAAGGCTCCCTAAGATTATGTTCTAAAATTTTCCAAACTAATCTATACCACAGATGGTGATCAGGAATTTCAGTTTAGTCTTTTTTTGTGAAAATTGTGAGTTGTAAATATAGCTGTATATTATTGTTTTTTTTCTGTTAACAGAATCTTGGGAGAGATTTGTAACAAGTGGAGTGTTATTTCTTGGCGGCTGGATCATTAACTACCTTCCATTTTATTTGCTTGAAAGAACTTTGTTTCTTCATCACTATCTGCCAGCACTTCTTTTCAAGATCATGTTGTTTCCAGTTGCTGTTGAATTGTTCTCGAGGTACATTCTGAGGTAAGTGTATCTGGTTACAAAAATGTTTGCAAAATGACAGTCTACATTTTTTGTTTTTTGTGACATTGCCCTCTTATGGTGATAGTGCCCTCTTCCTTCCTAGGGTCATCAATCTTAAAAGTGACACAGCCCTCTAGTGACACTAAGCTCTATTCATATACTATCATCTGGTTATATTGGAAAAAAAATCAACTACTATGATTACTTTATATAATTTTTATATATATTATATTTATGGGTCTTAGCAGCCTTCACCAATATTAAATCCTTTGAAAGAAGCTAGCTACCGTTAGTACAAAAGATCCTGATTGTCATGCCTGTGGCCATGAGTCTGAGCGTTTCTCCTGTGGTGAATTTGTGTTAATGGGAATTTCAATGGCTGGAAGCTGGATGACGATCATTGGAGTATCACCATCATGCATGGGTTGCTAGGCATTGGGAAGGAAATCATCGTTAATCTAATTCATCCCCCTTCAAGGGAACTAAAATTGTTCCGTCACCCCTCAGGCGATCTAAAATTGTTCAAGATGGTTACTGCATGAACTATCAGGCAGTATGTGAAAACATACAATTTTATGGTGGCCCTGCATCTCAAGGACGCATACCTACACATACATGTACATATACACCAAGCAAACCAGCCTCTGTTGAAGTTTGTGATAGAAAGAACTGTGAAGCTGTTTCTAGTACTTCCATTCAGTCTCTACTCAGCACTGCTGGTATGTGCAAGGTAGTGGTAGCTCAGCTTCTTCGTATACTCATACATAGATGACTGGATTCTCCACTGTCAACTAAGTAAGTAGTAATGGGCACAGTCACAGTTAGAGACAACCCAAAAATTTGTTCTTGGAGATGGAGATAGACACCTCAGTAGGTGTAGTTCATTGCTTGGTCGAATAACGCAACAGAATACGGCGGGTTAGCCTGTATGTTTTTTCAGCCAATGACTACACTTTGAAAATACCAGAACATAACAGTGCTTTTTGCTGCTAGAAGAAGGCCCTAACAAAGGTGGGAAACATCATTGTGGGTAGGAACATTGCAGAGCAAGATGCTACTAAAGCACTGCTAAAGGCTGTTTCGCATGTCTGTTATTACTCGCCAATTTGTCAGAAGGGTCACAGGCTTATTCTTCGCTTATGATAGAGCAGTCTTTCAGGCTGACTCAGTCTGCTTATTAAATAATCATCTCTTTAGCGCTAGAAACCCAAAACCTCATGAACCTGCCTCCCCTAATTTAAGCCAACGTACAGTTGAATCCAGCTCCTATGGAGGGGAGGGGGTTAGCATACCATTTGCCCAATACACATGCTCTGGCATAATTTGAAGCAGACACTAGGATCTGTGGCTCAATACAGAGGGGAAACAACAGTTATCAGCAAATTACATCACACGATCAGCTTCGCATACTCAAATGCAGACACCCCTAAGTACGATATAATGACATTGGAGTACTGGAAGTCACATAACACATTCATTTTTCATTACCTCTGAGACCTCTCTCCTGAGAGTCTTGTTTATCGCAGAATGGGTCATTGCGAGTTGAAAGTTAATGAATCTCGCACACAGAGACATGCTACTAGACTTTCTCTTGTAGAGTTTGGCTTGGGGATTTACCAGGACACTTTGTAGGTAGCTTACCTTTACTACATGGCTCTTAGCTTTCCTAGATTGAGTTTTCTGTATTGTAAATGCTGGAGGTCTGTTCACTTTGACATCACTTTGTGTGTAATTTCTGTAGAACGTATCTCATGCCTAATAATTTTTGTAATCGTTCACAATTGTGTATCAATTTTTTGCAATGAATTCAAACTGTGTCTTGACTGGGATTGGACTTTAGGCTTGTTTAATTCTGGGTCAACTCCATTTCGTCCAAGACAAATATCTAACTCACACAATGGTTGTAGTAATTGAAATGATGCTATAAACTATAGGGACTGCCTCAGCTAGCCCCCCCCCTTGTTTATTAGTCACTCCAATTACTTACACTAACCACCCACTTTTCAAGGCACTTGCCCATCGCTCTTGGGGTTAATTTTTTTGCACCAATCACGAAGCAAACAATTGAATTGAACTAAGTGCAGAGAGCAATGTTCGGCATATGAATACATGTATATTCTTTAAAAAACTGAAAGAAAGCCATAAGAAAACAAAACAAAAATCATTTAACGAAAGCAATCTCCAATTCCATGTGATAATAATATTTCCTTAAATATTTTTTTGCTCAGCTGAAAAAAATAGTGATAGCAATATTACTCGTCATTGACTCATAGTGATGCGGCCATTACATCACACATATTTTTTCCAGATGATCAAAGATTGTTAGGGAATAATGTATATCCAGGAGATTAAGAATTATGTTCCTGTACACAGCAGCTCTCGGAGATTAATAAATGATTTCATTAAAACTTTATATCAGAATCATGCATATTGGGTTGCAGGCGCACTTCGTGTTGTTTGTGGGATTCAAACAAAAACGGCCATTCATTTGTTCATTTGTTGGTATCCATGCTAGTTTCTATCTCTGTATTTATGACTGTAATCACAACATTTTGTCAGTCTGTGCACTTCCAGTCATACTATATTGAAATTGCTAGACATGATATACATGTACCCTGTGACTGAACACTAAGATCGACTGTCGGTAAAATCACATGGGAAATGTGTATTGTCAATGCCTGTCTGACTATAACTGTAACGAGTGAGATCACATTTAACATTATATGTATTATGACACATAGATGAATACATGGTATATGTCTATAAGCGAGCAATTTTGTAGAAAAATATCAGCTGTCATGTTTGTGAATACTAATTGTCCCTGAAATAAGACACCATATAAATGACACTATGTTAATTACAATGATTGGCAGGTGACTAGTAACTATCGTGACAGTAACAGAAATCAAAGTACGAAATCCGTTTAATGACCTTATAACTAAGATCAATATTTAGACTCTGCAGTAGAAATCCAATCAACCGATTTTCATTTGTGTTTTTATATCTACAGATGTTATTCAGTGTTGTAGAATTACTTTCATTCGGGTTCACTCTCAAAGTGTAAATGAGGGCTATGTGATTAAATGCTATCAATTGTTACACCCATTTTTGAATCTGTTTAGAGTCTAATGTAATCATGATCACAAGTCATTATAGAATGTAGCATCTGTAAATTCCGACTGCCACCGTTCCGTGTACATCAGTAATTTATAAAGAATCGTCCATTTGAAAACACCTTCTTTTACATTTAGTTGAACTAGAACGGAAATATTACAGACATCTGCTTGAGATAGCAAGTAGCAAGTCTTGCATGAATGGGAACAAACATACAGTACAGTGTTTATTATGAAAATGCTGACTAATATGGGGTCTGCAGTTGTTATGTAACAGCTACTACCAAAAGCATCAAAATAAATTGCTAGTGTACTAAAACTAACAATGTTGCCAGATTTGTTGTTTGCTATGATTAGCTTTGGTTTTAACATTTTTAAATTAACTGGCATATGTGTTTATCTTCTTAAATATCACAATATGTTTTTGCTAGTTTCCCAAATAAATTAATCGAATTTTAACCACAATGATGTTTAGCTCAGCTTAATTTCATATAATCACAGTGCCCGATGAACAAAGCAATCTTTCGTGCCTGTTAATGAAAATCCAGTTTTCCTGCGTAGTTATTAACTGTCTTTGTCAGCATAAAGCTTTTCATTTTGTTTATTTATCCCCTGTTGTGTTTTTTTTTTCTACTAACACAGGACATATTGAAAAAAAAAATTAAAGAAGCAACAATGTACGTTGTAGCTTGTATGATGCCAAGTCATTCGAGATCATGAACCCTATATCAGTGACAATGCAATTGACTGTAATGGTTCTATTATTACCATTTATCTAACTTCCTGCAACAGTTAAACGTACATCATACTCCAATTCATGTTTTCTGTGTATCGTGCATAGTTCCAGTAATTAAACCAACCCTATTTGTCATTTTCCCCTCAAAATGGAATCGGAAATTTCTAGTAATCAATCATTTTCTATCAATGGTTTTATATTTATCCTGCTTCTGTTATCTTCAATAATACGTATATGTACGTGCACAATGTATTTACTTATCGTCACCGACCTATATATTAGTTTAGTTTAAGATAATTTTAAGTGATGACTTAAGTACAACTTTATTATATACACCTTCACTCAATGTTATTTTAAACATCAATACAACAGAAAGAAATATTTATAGCTTTTGTTTCAAATATAATGTATATGTATATAATTATTAAAATCGTAATTCCAAAACTAATATCGTAAACAGCAGCAAATGCGGCGTAAGTAATTATTGTATTCACTGGTTTGGATCATTTGTATACAGCGCATCTGTGGGAATTACGGAAAAAATATACAAGCCATTTCCAATCCCTATATGCAGTAGTCGTACGTACAGCATGAGCTCCGCATGTAGTTACAAAGTGCGATTTATATTATACTAGCTATATTATTAAGCAGCCTTGTCAATATATGATATGGTCAGACATAGGTTAACAATATTGATGTATACATATAGTGCTATTAGAAATTATAAAAAAAAAGATTCTTAACATATTTCTCTATTCGTTGAATTGAATCAGTGTTAAAAATGTGATACCTTTACGATGACTTATTAATCCAGAGTGTATATATATATATATATATATATATATATATATATATATATATATATCATATTTCGTATATTTAATTGCTTGCCTGTTGGCTGTCGTCAATGCTGACTCTTTTCCCGTGATAACTCCTTCATTCTGGTCTGACATTATTATATAATGTGTAATTGATACTATCCCATTGTTGACACGATGCGATGTGTGCCATAACATTCAATGATTATTGCGTGTTTTAATTCAGTGATGTTGTGTGATCCACCGCGTGTAATTGATGTTTAAAATCTTTTCTTAGACCCCAGAACAAACGTAATGTCGATCTTTGACAGATTCAATATAAATAATATACTTACTTTTGTTTTGCCGGCATTCTTTATTTACTTGAACCATTCATCTTCCTGGTGTGGGGGATCCATATATATATATATATATATCTTTTGTGTATCTGCACTAATTGGAAGTATAGAAAATATAACGTGTTTATCACAGCGATAATTATTAAGTGTATTATTGCGGCTGGCTATACTATCTATTTCAAGATTGGTGTCAAATCATTACTAATAACTGTTTAAATATAAAAAAGGTTATTTCTGAGCTTTTGTACTGAGCTTTGTGATGGATTTATATTGGCTTCTAGTATGGCTTCAGTTGTGTAGGTTGGGATTTATCAAATAGCCCACATAGTACAATACTGGAATTGCAGTGACGTTGGTAGTATAGGAGATTAGGATTGTGTTTGCTATCGTCACCTGTCCATGTGGTCTGTGGACATTCATCAGATCAGCACAGTGTTTGCGAGTATGGTGTCTGAAATAACAATTAAATTGCAGGTCTGAAATATAGTTCCATTTCCAACATGCTATGCTCTGCTATACGCTTGTACAAATGAAAACCAAAGTTCTTTATAACAATATCACCCCATAAGACGCAACCTAGATATTAATTTGAAGCTAATAAGGAACCACTTACTAAATACACATTATCTCAAGGCTCCCACTGCCTTCTGTCCCATAAATTGTCCATATATATTTTAAAGTTCTATTTTTATCTTGGTAAATCAATGAATCAGTCACGCGTGTCTGTTTTATGGATTACACCAATTGTATGTCTGAGTCATAATAATCGTAATCACAGTGAATTGTCATAGTCGTATTACCAGAATCTAATGTCTACTATATTATGTAAAATTTCAAAGTTTTTTCTCTCTCGGAAATTTAGTGATTTAATCATTACCATTAATCTGCATGCAACGATTGTGCTGTGCAGCTTATGTGGAAAGTGGTATGTTCAATACATATTATTTAAGGGTGGTACTACTACAAATGTAGCCTGAAATAGCTTTATGTCTTCTGTCTTTCAAACATAATTTGACCGACGGGCAGCCATTTTTGTCCCCCAAAACACCAAACAAATAAACGGTATTAACAACTGTATTTGATGAGTTACTGAGGCGTAAAAGTTTTGTGTGTGACTCAATTCGTATTATATGTCCTTAATCATTTCTCTTCTCAACCGACTTAGTTCAATGTAGGTACATCATTGATCTTTAGGTAATTTTAGCCACAAAGATAACATTTGAATATTTTGTCAATCATCCATACAATAAGGCATGCATTGAACAACTTGATTCACACTTGGTATGAATAATGCACATGATGCACTTGCACTTGATTCAAGTGTCAAGTGTTTATTTGTATGTGTACTTAGCCATTTCTCGGTAATGTAAATCACCAGAATACAAACAGGGACTGTATTTTATTTGTCTTATAATTGATCTTACATTTGACAGGTCCGGCTCTCAGCGCCAATTATTCACCTGGTTTCTTGTGCCTTGCTGTGCCCAGATTGTAGTGACATTCGTTAAGTTCAGCCCATTCAGCTACGGGAATCGTTCAGTATCGTCAGAAGAAATGGAGGATTGTCGTTGGTTGGATTCGTGGGAATTTCTACAGCATGGGAAATTGCCTTATTAATCAATCTAATGAAGCAATGAAGTTAATTATCATGAATACTGGGTAAATTATATTTGTTACTGTTATCGCTTCAGTGAAGTAATTTATTGAAACTGTTTTTTTTTTCATGTGCATAGCATACCTTTTTTTTAGGTCGTTCAAACCTACAAATATTGAATGATCCCCACATTTTATTTTTTCAATTTAAAAACTGTAAATCTGTGTTATCAATGGATTGGATCGTATGTAATATCTCAAATTGCTTCCTTTTTGTTTATTTAATCAAACTAATTAGTTATCCTCCAATTATCATTACCTATAAATCTTACATGACCTTCTTTTAAAATGTATTTTACTGTGATGTGTGTTACTCAGCTTTAAAAAATGTCCATTTGTCAATGAAGAGAGATGTCTATTTAAATCTGTATTTTAACTCTTAATTCTGTCCGAGAATCCTGAAATAGTGTGTTACATTCAAGTTCTTTATCAATCAGCACATCCACGCCGTTGAATTATAAAAAAAAAAAAAAAAAAAAAAAACGTTGGAAACACGTTGTCGTTGTATTGATAGATTGATTGTAATCATCTGATTATTCGTCCGTGTTAAATCAATTATAAATGGCTTACCCGAGGATTTAAAAATCCATTGTCATCAGCATGTTGATTTCTCACTCTGTTTCACATGACACTAATGTATTGTGCCTCAGTAGTCGGTTGCATTTACCTCAGCCCTGGGACGTTGCCTTGTCGTCATTCTTAATCTTATCAAGAGGAAAATTGCTTCGTTATTAAAAACAAATTGGTAAACGTCAGCATCCCTATTTTCACTTGACTTGGTCATAACAGAGCAGGCTTATTGAATTTTGTTCACATAGACAAATACCCCACCATAGAACAATTGTGGCCAGATTTTTGTGATTTGATTCTGTACATAGTAACGTATGTTTCCCCCTTGCGATCCTATCGCATATCACAGTTCCGTGTTTATAATAGTTAGCTGGTTGGTAAATTTACCGCATTTATAATGTAAATGACATTCGTGTTTAGTTTGTCATCTTCATGCATTGAGTCCAGCATGATGTCCCTGCTGTTCCGGCGTTTTAATCATGGTTCTCGGAATACAATTACCCCTTATCCTACGTTCTAGTCATATAACAGGATTTCTGACAGTTATAAATGTATAAAGATAGGGTACATGCTGAATATTATGTAATTGAATACTGGTTACCTGTTATTGTGCATTTTTTTAGTACAAATTTGATGTCATAACATGCTTGCAAAAACAACAACACAATTATTGATGGGACTCGAAATGGATTTTGTTGGAAGAGGAATATTCGAATGTAATTGAATCCAGAACTTACGAAATAAATATTAGCACTGCCATTGCTTAACTTTATGAACACTTTGTATTTGTCGTGTATACAGTCACAAAGTTTGACAAACTCGTTCATTTCTTTTGGGCAGAATGGGAATGAATAAAATATGAACCCGTAAAAGAGATGGGGCAGCTGTCTGTTTACGTTGGGTTGCATTTACCGGTTATAACAATTATATAACTTTTGATATTAGATTACGATTCAACTAGTAATAACAAATACAACTACATTTGTCATGGGCATACCTTTCACATCATATTTTTATTCGGATATACTAGTAGTTCAAACGTATGTATATAATGATGACGTGTTGCTTGTCACAGACACGTATGGAAATTATACGAATAAGGAAATTACAGACAAAAAGAGTGAAAATTTGTGTCATATTTTCTATATTCAAAATGCTGAAATTGGTTGAGAAAAAAAAGCCATGAAAATGAGACATGACAACGGATACACAAGATAGAGTGATTACTTCCTGCTCTGCATGTTTTGAACGTAGACTATGTTGCCTAGTATTTCGAACACGTCTATTTCACCATACCTGTCACTGGCTGAAATGTATGATGAATGTCCGTGTAAGTCAAAATGAAGTATATAGTAGGCGTTATTCAGTAGCGAGACATTTCGGGAAAAAAAATACGAAAGGAGTATGTGTGCATTTAGGTGAAGGGCATTAAGGGAAACGAATTTGAGATATAGCTGCAAGCAGCAATGATTTATTTGGTCCAATACGCTATTGGAGCCATATTGTTATTAATATGTTCATACTAGGAATACACGCACCAACAAAAAAGAACTAACTTCACTTATAAGTCTATATCTGTGATTTGCGTTGTCATTGGCATTGACAATCAACTCGTTTAAAGAAGCGAACAATATCCAACCTTGAGACTAGAGAACTAAAGGGATAAAATCTATCAACTCTTTGAATGAATGTAAACACGTTCTATTTTAGAGTCAGTATTATTATTATTATACACGTTGTGTAATTGGTTCTGCGACCAACGGAGTCTTTATTTTGTGTCATATTTAATGGTTTGTGTACCCACGTGAGTCGGAACACTCTAAATGCATTAGCAAATAGAAACAGTCACTAACATTCAAGCGTGCTGAGAATCACTGATCATTTTTGTACATGTTAATAGTTCTAAGGGTTAGGAACTCTCTCTGAGTACAACTTTAAAACGTTTTCACTCGGTAATCTGCGTTACATACTGTGTATGTCATAGTAACAATACAAGTTGCTTGCACGATTGTGACTGAGAATTTCCCAAATTAATAAAAATTTAATAACGGCATTCATTGTATTTCTATAATGAAAGTTAAGACTTGGTCTACCCACAGAGTCTAAGTTTACATTTATTTGAGTTCAATTACTAGTAATATTGTTAGTTTTGAAAGAACATAACAATCAGGAAAATAATTGCATATTTTATTAGCTTTCTGATATCAATATATATTTCAATCATTTGTTACCTATTGATCGATAAGTCACGATTTTGACGTCATTTACGATAAAATATTCATCAATGTTATGAAGCCAACGGTGGTATGTTTGAATTGCGTGTAGTTTCCATGACACGTGGGCAATATATTTATCTTTTCCAGTAATGTTAGTCTGGTGCCTTAGCAAAAACATTGTTACAGAAGTGGTACTTTTTTTTCAGGAAATCTGTGATCAATAAGGCATCATATTTTTACTTTGTTACCGTGGAAATAACAAACAAAAAAAACATTTCCATTTTGTAATCAATCTAACTAATGCCCCTCTCCATTTCGAAATATGCATGTTACGAACAAAATAACCACTGAAAATAGTGCTAAAAATAGACACGTGGAAACGGAAATCACTAAAAAATCACCAAATATGCAATAATTATTTTTTGAGGTAGAAGAACACTACTAGTAGCAAACAGTTTGGATGGGTTACACAAATCTGTCACTGAATATATTAATTAGAATTTGCATTATAGGAAACATGTTAACTGTCAACATTTTGAGCATTGAACTGGTTGCTTTAATCGAGGCATACGAATAAGACGTTTCATGCATGGGAAACCATGTCCGAAAATGAACTACCATGACTGTATGACCTTGTTAGACCATGGGCAACCACAGAAGCTTTTGTCAAATGATACAATTCACGTACCCATAAACTACCATGATTGACCATGGCCATATAATAAGTATATCTGCATTACATTGATAGGATTCCAGAATTGCTTACAGTGTCCTGAATCATAATGGTAAAGTTATAAGGTTATATGCTGAGAAATTACCGCTTTCTGGGACTTAATGATACCTTGCTTAATGACTTAATGATATATGTTCACGACGTATGTCATTGGTAGTATAGAAAGCACAATACTAAAAATGTTGATTATATAATTTAAATACTGGCATATGAAGCTGTGTTGTCGTTCAGGTCTATGCAAATTAGCTAATTAATATGCTAAATAATATGCTAAATTGTCTGAACTGATCCTTTACTATCAACAGTGTTTCTTCGATATTTAACAAGAACATGAAAGTAATATCATATTTAATGTTTCAGGCGATTTTTGCATGACAACAAAGATAAAACAAATAATGCAGTGAACGTAATTAATATCAGATTTTGCCCTGATCATTTTGATATCAATGTTTCCCCACCTTGATTCATTATAGCATTTTATGATTTCCGTTGTTACCATCGTAACATACTATATAAATATAATGCCTTCTGTTTGTTAGATTGTATGTATTGTATCAGAGCGTGATTTTCTGATATTATCTATCTGACATCCGGGTCATTTTGGTCTAGTTTTAGTACATGTCGTTTGTATCTTACCATATCTTTCATTGATGTATTGGTGGTAATTTGAATATAAGGATTCTCTTACAACAATTGTATCAGCATTTCATACAGCAATGACGTTGTTTTTTTTGAAGATTTTGAAATAATATAATAAATTCATTTCGTGAATTTTAAAAATACACATTATTTATGCCCAGTGATTATGTTTAGGTAACATCACGAGGCAGAGGAGTAATGTCTTCCATGTAAAGTAGTTGTTAAACGCAGCTTAATTTGTCCATCAACACATAATTCTGTAATTGTTATCATTTGATGAAACTCGACAATATAACTCTGTCTTCACGGCAAGTTTGCAGCGGGACATTATGTTCAGTAACACCACTGTTTGTCTCTTATTACCTCAGAAAATCACCAGCTGCGACTGCGACTACTCTCACTGTTAATCACGTGGCCCATGTATACATACATTCATTGAATATATTGTATATTCTTGTATTGCCACTGCACTGCCAGTAATATTTAGCAATGTTGTACGATGTGATTTTAAATACACCAATGGCAAATAAACTTACAGAGTCGTTTATAGTGCCATACTCGTCGGCTTGTGTCGGATCATCAAATATAAATCTCCCCCACACCCCTAAGTCATGTCAGTATATTTCGAATATATATCTCTTAAACAGGTTAGAGTGTAAATTCGTTTATGGAAACATGAATTATATACACCGTTTCAGTGAGCAGAGCTTTACATCGCTTCATCAATGATAGATGCCTACCGGAGATACCAGCTTTCTATAAACGACAGTTACCATGGTAACCAATCATTATACCAAACTCGCATGCTCCTAAATATAAGCTTACAGATATTTTGATAATAAGATTTATCACTCGATCCTGTGAAGATACTAATCAGTATCCGTATTATGCTATGTAATTTATGCTGATAATGTTCCTTCAACAAGAACATTTCTTTCGCATGCAAACACTTTATGTTTCCCCCATAGATAATGTGACACCTCAAATACTTCCCAGTTGAGTTAAAGCATGTATACACGTCATATTTTGATTCACTCTGATTGGTCTGACTGTTTGGCGTTAGAGTTGGGTAGCCAATCAGGCACGAGGAGTAGTTACCTATTGACTTGCATACCATGACAACGATACTCGAGATAGTAGGTTTAAGCAGCATTTTTTTCTGACAATGGCAAAACCTGTTTGCCAAAATAAAGCTTCTGTGATTTTAATTCAGGTTCTTAAAATGAACAAAATGATAGATTATAGGTGCAGATTACGCTGTATGTGCCAATTAGTTGAAAACTTGACCTTGCAGCGGATATCGGCTTTCGTCAGAGAGTGAACTATGGGCTGTAAGATAATATTAAAAGCGATGTGTTGAAACTGATCTTCACAACTTCAAACTACAAATATATAACGTTCGTCTCTTCTGGTACTATTATTTTGTGATCATTGGACTTGAAAATCTATATTTAAAGCAAAATTTAACATCTTTTCAAAACATAATAACTAACCTCATT